CCATACTTTATTACAAAAGGAATTACAAGTAAATAACGTGTTTTCTTTTGCAGAATACGTGAGTTCCACATTTCAGCTACAAAGCAGCTGCGCTAACAAGCTTTTTTATAACGTAAAAGTGCATAAAACTATCGTATACATTTTTCAGCATGATTTTATTTTATTTTATTCACTTCCAGAGTTTTCAGGACTGTTAAAAGTACTTGGATATCATTTAAAGTATTTTGAGCGACTTTAAGCTACTTTGAACTACTTTGAAGTTACTTTACGCTACTTTGAACCACTTTGAAGTTACTTTAAGCTACTTTAAGCTACTTTAAACTACTTTAAACTACTTTGAGCTACTTCACGCCACTTTACGCTACTTTACGCTACTTTACGCTACTTTAGACTACTTTGAGCTACTTTTGTACTTTGATGTACTTTTCGACTTGAAGTACGCCGTTTCCCCCTTGTGTTTTACTCTGTAACGAAAGCAATGAAAAGCAAACTAAAACAGAAATGAATTTAGTGATTATTTCACTAAATGTTCAAAGTAATCACCATGATTATCTACACACAGCTGCATTCTTTCGATCCATTTCTCGAAGGTCTTTTTGGACTCATCGCGATTTAAGGAGTGCATGAAATCGGTCACAGCATCATGTAATGATTCTGAATCGTCTTGATCAGTCAGATTATTTTTGATCAAGTCGAATAACCAGAAGTCACAAGGTAATAAATCTGGAGAATTAGGTGGATGCGCTATTATTGCAAGGTCTTCAGATTCAAGATAATCGGATACATCTTTATGCACATGTGGTCTACCATTGTCATGATGAATTTTGATACCACGAGTCCTATACGAAAGTCTTTGACATTTGATCTCGTCGATCAGAGGTCGTAAACACTGGTTGATGTAATAATGATGGTCAACAGTCTGACCACGTTCGATGCGACGGATTAACATAGGTCCGGTCGATTTGAAAAAGATCAAAAACAAGGTTTTTGATACGAACCGACTTCCTCGAACAACAGTTGGTGGAGGATCTCCTATACTCACTCATGCTTTGTTCGATAACTTTCGATCGACCTGTTTGTGATAGAATCAGGACTCATCGCCAGTAATTATATCACATACACGCCACATTCCTTGGTGGAATTTTTCTAAATTTTGCTTGCATATTCGAACCCGTTCAGCTCGCTGAAGATAGGTGAGATCCTTAGGTATGTAACGTGCGGTTATCTTCCGAAGCTTTAAATGATCACCGATTATTCGTTGAACAGTCCCATAACTCAAATTAGTTCGTTCTTGGATACCCTCGATTGTAATGTAAGGTTCATCATCGATGAGAAGACAAATCTGTTCGATATTTTCAGTTGCTGTTTCAGTAATAGGTCTACCAGGTCGCGCTTTATCTTCAATTTCTTCTCGACCTTCACGAAACAATTTTGACCATCGTTCGACTGTGCTCAGACCAGGGGCTTCATCACCATAAACAGAGTTCAATTCATCATGGATAACTCTTGCTGGAATATTAAGTGCAGTACGCACTTTTATGTAAAAGCGAAAGTTTTCAGTAGTCATCTGAAGTTAGGGAGAAGAGGAGAAGGAAAGAAAAAAGAAAATATACGATGATCCGTGATAATGCAGATAATAACACAGACGCATTCCTTTTTATGTTTATATGGAATCAGGTTGTAAGAAATGATAAGAAGAAGAAAATGAAATAAAAGAAAGAAGAAGAACACAGAAAAAACGAAAAAGAATGATGTATGGACGAAAATATCAGCTTCTGCTACGAGGGAGTTGTACGCAACAAAGCTTTTTCTCGAAATTTCGCTAACTTAGTAAAAGGCGAGAAATGATCAAATAGCACAGAGAAATAGAGCGAAACACGCTCTATCTATTGGGAAAAAAGAAACTTTTTTAGACCTCTACTTGAGGAAACAAGGTACCTCCCTCACTACTTTTGGATTGCCTTAAGTATTAGCTGATGGAAAACCAGCACAATATAATACAAGAGATGCTGTTTGGTGGTGGTTATATTCAATGTCATCTTATACATGCTTAGTTTCAGATGGTTATTAAATTTTATCAGATAAAGTTTCACATTTATATCCAACACATGAAGTCCTGCACAAACAGCTGGATTATATGATCAATTATTGTATGATGTTATTCATGAAGTTTTTCTTCGTCATATTCAATCTTTAAATTTTAGAGAACGTGGAACTGGACATTCATTAGATTCAGTTATAAGTGATGAAGGTTTGAATAATAAAATTGGAATTGATACTAAAACTGGTTTCGTTTATGGAGGAAGTAGATGGAATTTTGGAACATGGATGGATAAAATGGGTTCAAGTGATAAAGCAAATTATAAAGGACATTCAGCTACACCAAGAGATGGAACTGCTGTTAAATTAGTTGGATTATCTAGAACTTTTATTGCTTGGATTATTCAAATGAATCAAGAAGGACATTATCCATATGATTCTGTTGAAACATCTACTGGTAATTATTTATTTTATTTTGAAAATATTTAATTTTTTTTTTTGTTTAAAGGAATTGTTGGAAAAATTAAATTACTTTTTACAGAATGGTTAAATAAAATTGATGAAAATTTTGAAAAAGAATTTTGGATTGATGAAACAAATTCAGCGGGATATGTTAATAGAAGACAAATTTATAAAGATACAATTAATTCATCTCTCAGATGGACTGATTTTCAATTAAGTCCTAATTTTATTATTGTAGCGGTTATTATAAGTACAAAATTTTATTTCATTTAAAAAAAAATTCTTTTTATTAAAAGGGCTCCGGAAATGTTTGATAAAACTCATATATAGTTAGCATTAAAACAAGTTGAAACAATTCTTTTAGGAAAATATGGAATTAAAAATTGATCCACACTCAAGCAAGTCATAAAAAGTGAATAAACAGTTTCCATGAAATTAAAAATATCTAAAATTGCGTGAAAACGACGATCAAAAACGAAAATTCGAGCACCTAAATTGTTCCTCTGAGACTTGCTGAATTCGAATCAGGGTGCTTTTGTGAAGCATTGTGAAAACTTTTAAAAATTTTGAACCCTTTCACAAAGTCAAAAAGAACTCGGAAACTGATTTCGGTTCTCCAGTATACTTTTTGACATTCAGTATGGTCGGAAACCAAAAAGGTATTCTCACATACCCATTCGGATACCAACTTAGTTTTTGTCGCAATACTAGTTTCCTACAATACCCTAACGGTTTCTGAGAACACGGTTAGGTTTCCGACATTAAGAAAAAGGTACTACAGAATACCTTAATGGCATCGGATTAGGTATTGTAGGAAACTTGAGGGTTTCCGAGGTTTCGGAAACCGAAAAGGTATTTTTGAAAACGTCGCAAATTCTCGAAGACCCTCTCGGAAACCTCAAAAGGTTTGCGAGAGGGTTTCCGAACCGGTTTGGGTTTTCTTGGAAACGGTTTTTTTTAGAGAGTTGGACATGTTTTCAGATGCTGTGACCACATGAGTCGTATCAACATTTAAAAAAAGTTTCGCTAAACAAATATATGGATTTGCGTGGAGATCGCGCAGATCAAGATTGACTTACTCGACGACATTGTTTAATGATGAACGGTAAGACAACGATTTTTCAGGGCAACTATCTACAAATACAAGAAAACATAAGAGATGCATTGATATTCTTGGGTGAGGGATTTTCCACGTGAATTAAATTGCCATAATAGTACGCTTCGAAAACCTTGAGCGTTTCATTGATCACTCGGGCTCGCCATCATTATAAGGCACAGATGCTCAAGCTAGGAAAAAACTCAAACAGTTTGAAAGAGTAAAGAAAAATCCCCGTTACGACATTTTTCAGAACTTTTCTTCTTTGTTTATGTCGAAAAGAAAAACTCGATTAACAAATCCAGTGACAACATAGATAAACACTGAAACAAGACTAGTCTGAATAGCTGCTTGTCCAGCGAACATCGACCGAGAATTTGTATTCATGATCATAAATCAAGGAAGCATTGGAGGTGAAATAGAGCACGTAACTGTGTGTGCCGGATGATGGAGAGTCAAAGGCTTGATTGAAATCAATACATTGGATTTTAATTCATCAATTCCATGCCACCAGTTTTCTTCACGGGCCATCAATACGAATTCGCCTAATTTCGTGTGAAATAAAAGCTTGCAGAAGAATATTAATTTTTGCACTCGATTCTTGGATACTTTCTTTAATTGGGATCGGTACTAGTAATTAGAATACCTTGACCACGAGTATCATATTGCGGACGGTCAGCATGACCGAGCATCTAGAAAATTTGATATGATATGATTTTTTTTTGAAGGCAAGAAGAACTTTACCAGAATAGCATTAAGTGCATCTAATTCTGTCCATCGACCTTTCTCAGGATTATAAATTTGTGTATCTTTGATAATAACTGTATGAGCTGGTAAATTAACACCCCAAGCAAGTGTTGTTGTTGTTACAAGTACTTGAATATGTCGTTCAGCAAAAGGTACTTCAATTAATGTTCGATCAGCACAATTCATATCAGCTTGATGAATAGCAAATGAATATGGAAAGATAATAAAAATCTGTTTCCGACAATCCGGAATGTCCAATTACTCATACTAACCTTTGTTTGTTCTGCTTCTGTTCGAAGAACTTCTTGTGAAGCTGAACCGTCTTTAAGAAATGCACAAATAGTATCTTTTTTCATACAAGCATCTCGTATAGCTCGTGCTGTTTTTCCGGTTTCTTTTCTCGAGTGGACAAAAATCAATACCTAAAAAGAAAAACTCCAATATCCCAAAAAATCGAAGAAAAATGACTTTTACCTGATTTTTTCCAGCATGTTCCATGACTTTATCATACACTGAAAAAAAAATGGTACGATACCGAACCAAAAAGGGTACTTTGAACGAAAAAAAGGTTTCGTACATAGTACGGAACCTAAAAAGGTTTCGAATTCGTTTCAATTCTCTGAGCCATTTTAGGTTCGGTACAGACTACTACGAAAAAGTTGAAAAAGTGTCCCCAGTCAATGACAATCAATTTTAGTCACCCAAAGTTTTGTACGAAACCTTTTGAGGGTTTCGTATTGTCTTCCTAAATGGTTCGGTGCGCTGCAAAAAAATTTGTATGATTACGGATCCATTTAGGAAGACAATACGAAACCCTCAAAAGGTTTTGTACAAAACTTTGGGTGACCAAAATTGATTGTCATTGACTCAGGACACTTTTCAAGTTTTTCGTAGTGGTCTGCACGGAACCTAAAATGGCTCAGAGAATTGAAACGAATTCGAAACCTTTTTAGGTTCCGTACTATGTACGAAACCTTTTTTCGTTCAAAGTACCCTTTTTGGTTCGGTATCGTACCATTTGTTTTTCAGTGTACACACACCCCACACCCACACCCCCACCCCACATAATAGTATATTTAAATCTACTGTTGATATAATAGATATTTATAACAGGTTTATTTATCAGTTAAATCAATGGTTAGACTAATAATAATAATAACGAGCAAATAGCAACAAGACAAATAAAAACAAGAGTATCAGAACAACTAGATAGTATTCCTGTTTCACTCGACCGCAAAATATGATGCAAAGCTTTCAATGTCAATTTACAAATAAATCGATATTTTCTAAAAACTTAATAATTATTCAGATGATCGAAGTGAGAAAGAACATGTGAAGTAATTATTGAGAGATTCATTACTAAGAGAATTGAACTGGTGACTATAAACATAATTTAACTATACAGTTTCGACTGATCATTTGATTCAAAACTTATCTTTTTAGATGGATTTCTGTAAGAAAATAGAACATCATATCGAAAATTGGAAAACGTATTGCATAGATTCGATAATGAAATTTCATTCAAGGCTTTGACGAAGTACGTTTTCACTTTTGCTTCTAGAGGTCACCGTGAGAAAAAAAAAAGACAACTTTTGATGCTTACATCGAGATAAAGAGATAGAAAAGAGACTTGTTACTTAACAGAACAATTTACGATTATCTTCAAATTTATTTAATCAGAAGATTCTAATCAAGCAACTCTATTTATGTATCGTTTGTTATTTATTCAAATCGAAAACAAATAATTGAAACTTAATGATACAGAGTTTTATCAATACCTATTAATAAGTAAGAAAAACAACAACTTATAGTTACACTTCGAGAGATAATAACAATAGTTCGTCACAAAGAACAGAAAGAAAAACAATTTTCATAATACTAAAGCAAGAGTATTTACTTTTTCTTTATCACAATAATTTTTGACGCTGGTTGCCATGAATATCGAATTTATCCTTCTCAAAAAAGAAATTATCTCTTAAATGAGTATCGTTTTCTCGAAGTGAATGAAAGAACGAAGTTTTAACATCAATCTGCACTATTAAATCAAGTAAAGTGACCAATGACTCTACAACATCAATTTTCGATAAAAAAGCATAAATTCAAACTTGAACCAAGATTCTAAGTTCTTCAAAATAACCATAAAATAATGTATATTTGAGATTCAATGAATCTTTCAGTCAATGATAGTATTACAAAAAAAACATTCGAATTGCGAAATCAATTAACGTAATTTTCAAGTCGAAAACTTTCTACATAGAAATGTGAGGAGTATTGAATCTGCAAGACTTATTATTTGTAAAATTATCAATGAAAAACAACCTAAGAATGAGTACAAAGTATAACAAATACCGATTTGATTCCTATGCAGAACGATATTCGATAAAACCAATGAAAAAAAACTATATGTATTATTTATATTGAATTTATTTTTTCAACAAAATGGACATACAATAGATTACAAATGTGAACATATTCTGGAGTCAATATAATGATCATGCACTATATAACAGTTCAAAATAAAAGAAGACATTTCTTCTTTAAAGATTTTAAAAATAAACGGATCCGTAAAAGTCATAATGTCTTGAGTAATAAGTTGAGCAATAATAAATATAATAATATAGATTAAATTGAATAAATAATTGTTAGTAAATTGTTCAGTTTGATTAAATCAACATGTCATACTGAGTTCACCATCGATTGATCCAGATGAGTGTTGAATTGAAGTTACAATTCAATACATTAAATAACTCTCAAAACCAACACTGGTAGTAATGGTACAATCGGTACCACCATTGGATAAGCAAAATAGGTATAAGGATACACGTAAAACATAGTGTATGAGATGAGCAAAGCAACAATAAATATTGTGAATATAATCTGAATTTGTTCGTATCTATATGGTGTATATATATAGGTGTGTCTATCGATTTATATTTCCGGGCTGCGGAAATATTTCTTTTTCCAACATAACTGATCAGAGTTATTAATCACAAAATGAAAAAAGGTGTAATATTATAACGCAATACAGTTATTTTTGTACATGACGCTTAAAAATGATTAGTATCGTTGGTAAGTATTTTTCCGACTTTTGAAAGATATTTGTATTACTTGGAAATTACCATAAATATCAAACACTCTTTTAATTTGGATGCAATGAAGAAAGACACCTGTATTAGTCTTTGGATTGCTTTTCGATTGGATATTAATTATTGGCGATTGACGTCACATAAACACGGAGTAGGAGAAAATCAATCCTTGCATGATTGATCGACTTCATATCGAAGTAATACTACCTGTAAACTATTTTTATTTTTGTTATTTCTTGCTTCACGGAGAGCCGTATTTGTTCCTTGCTTTAACTGTATTAATTACATCGTAGTATTTTCTTTATGTGGTACATAAATTGGTCAATGATAGACGCAAAAATTTAGATCTCATCTTTTAAAAAACTGGTGCACGAATATAAAATATAAATTTGACCATGACAACAAGTATAGACAAGAATAGATTGATTGTCTTAATACATATCAGTTTTGTTCAATCTATCATAAAAATCGGATACTGATATGGTTATTGCGTATAAAAATGTCAGATAAATATGATATATTTTGCCAGTAAAATTGCAAAAGAACTGATCTTCATTTTATTATCTAATGAAAGAAAGAATGTGCACAATATAATTAAAATTGACTCAAAATCTATAGATCTTGATGAAAATTTTAGCTCGAATTTAATCTATTGAAAATGTACTAGAATAATTTGTTTGTTGTTTTATTGATAAAATATATGTCGTAGATTGCCATTTGTTATAAGTCATTTTGGACAGAGTATCATTTTAAATATCACATATTGTCTACAATAGTTTCATAGAATAAGATGTTCATAATAAAGAAATATAATCAAGGATCTCTTCTTTGTTTTAACAGGAAATAGATTTGTTGATTGACACAAGATTTTACTATCATCGACAGTTATGTTTATTTAGAAGATTTTAGTGCAGCAAATCTGTTCATGTACTATTTATTTCTGTCGATTCAAATAAAAAAAGAATTATTAATACGTTTAATAATCGGAAGACTTATGAACGCCAATTAATTAGTAAGAAAAAAAAATTTAGTTAAATTTTTAGAAAGAATGGCGATAGTCCGTCGCACTGAACAAAAAGAAACAATTTTTTTTTTGGTAATAATAAGCAACAATATTTACATTTTTTGATAGTGACAGTCTTCGAAGATACTTTTCATCAAAATCAAATTTGTATTTGTCATGAAAATGAAGTCATTATCTAAATAACTACCATTTTCTTAAAGTAAATGCAAGAATAAATTTCTAATATTGATCCACATTATCAAATGAAGATAAGTGGATCAATGACTTTACAACATTAAGTTCATATCAAAAACATAAATTCGAGCTTGATCCAGCATTTCAAGTTCTTAAAAAACAGTGGATATTAGAAATTCAATACATCTCTCACTCGTTAATACTATAATAAAAAAAACAATCGAATCACAAAATCGATAAATTCCTTACTTTAAGCAATTCAGTTAACAAATGATTTCGAACAATTTTCAAATCAAAAATTTTTCACTTAGAAATGGATTCAAAGATTGAATCTGTAGTGCTAATTATTTTCAGCACTACCATGAAGCAACAAAAAAAGGATAACTGTAAAGTCTGACAAATTCAGATTTGATTTCTATGCAGAACGAAATTTGATAAAACGAATAAAAAGAACATCATAGATGATTTATCTTGATTTTATTTTTTCAACAAGATCGATATACAGTATGTTACAAATGTGCACATATTTTGAAATCAATATATTGATCATGCAATATATAAATGTTCGAAATAAAAGAAGACATTTCTTCTTTAAAGATTTAAAAAATAAATGGATCCGTAAAAGTCATAATGTCTTGAGTAATAAGTTGAGCAATAATAAATATAATAATATAGATTAAATTGAATAAATAATTGTTAGTAAATTGTTCAGTTTGATTAAATCAACATATCACACTGAGTTCACCATTGATTGATCCAGATGAGTGTTGAATTGAAGTTACAATTCAATACATTAAATAACTCTCAAAACCAACACTGGTAGTAATGGTACAATCGGTACCACCATTGGATAAGCAAAATAGGTATAAGGATACACGTAAAACATAGTGTATGAGATGAGCAAAGCAACAATAAATATTGTGAATATAATCTGAATTTGTTCGTATCTATATGGTGTATATATATAGGTGTGTCTATCGATTTATATTTCCGGGCTGCGGAAATATTTCTTTTTCCAACATAACTGATCAGAGTTATTAATCACAAAATGAAAAAAGGTGTAATATTATAACGCAATACAGTTATTTTTGTACATGACTCTTAAAAATGATTAGTATAGTTGGTAAATATTTGTCACAATTTTGAAGGATATTTGCATTACTTGGAAATTACCGTAAATATCAAACACTCTTTTAATTTGGATGTAATGAAGA